CTCTGCGTCGAAGGAAATGCTGTGAGGGCGTTCGCTTGTCGGGCAAGTGTACCCCTCGGGGGCCGACCCCGCTATCTGGGCGAAGACGAAGGCGCGGCGCGCCTCCGCGTCGGGGGGCGGGGGCGCGCTCTGCGCTGACGCGAGCCTGACCTTCTCCAAGAACTCCGACCAAGCACGCCCTTTCATGTATTTCACCGCGGACTCAGAGGCGGCCCAATCCTCAGCGGTGCCATTCTACTGGCGAAGCTTTTGACGACAAAACGCAATTCAAAAAATTAAACGTTTAATAGCAAAATGCTCGGTATAGCGTTGGACCAACCGCGGCTGACTGAACGCGAGAACGCGAGCGCCCGCGCGATGCTCCTCGCTGCAGACTGAAGCCCCGATGGGCACCACGATCACAGCGTTTGGCGCGAAAGGGCGCGGACCGAATTGCCTGCCAATCGCGACGTTGCGATGAGGAACCGCTGCGCCAATGACAGCGGCAGCGGTGATACATCGAACAAACACCTTGGAGCAAGTGTCATTGCGACAGCGACATCAAAGGCGCCATTACGTTCAATGACACATTGGAGGTCGCGCAACCACGCGCGAACCCCACGCGGCACTACAGCGCGCAACCGCATGATGAACGCAAACTGCACAAGCCAACGCGATGCGCGTGCCTGCGCGCGCTAACCCACAACCAGTGGCTCGCACGTGCGCGCGCGCACGTTCGAGGGCGATGGCATCGCCAGAAGTCGCGGCGCGATGGCAACTGGCCGTGCAAATTTGCAGGTCGCCAGGCGCACTTCTGAAAGTTCTTGGGGTCGCAAAACCATAATGAAAACCGCGCTGCGCATCCAAAGCGACGCGATCACGCGAGTAGGGCCGCCCGCGCACGGCAAGGCGCGAACGCAAACCCAAGCTGGGAAAAAACCAGCGAGGTATGGAATCGGATTGCAACGGGCGCTGGTTTTCAGGGCGCGCTAAAAACGCATCGCGCGTCGAAGCGCGACCGCCAACAGTCAGCTATGAGGCTGGGCACCCTCGCTGGGAACGGTCAGAACTCAAGAGCAGCGGCCAGGAATTGATGGGCGCCTCGAACGGCGGCGACAACAAAAAAAAAAAACACATCCTCTCGTCGCCACACGGCGCAAGAAGCGGCGCAGTCGACCGCGCACGTCCGCACCGCGCAGATTAGCGCAAGACGCGACGCACAACGAAGGGATTGAAAGCCCGCTCGCGCGCGCACGCGCGCGCGCCGCAAAGGCGGGAGCGCGCCCCCGCGGGCCTGCGCGCGTTCCGAAGGGCCGACAGCGCGCGCCAGCGCAGCCTGCGCACTGGGCGTCGACCCACCGCGGAGACGACGTCGACGCAGAGGGTTCTGTGGAGCCAGAATACTTGAGCCAGAATGGTCGGATCCAAAATTGCAACAGAGGGGGGGGCGCCGGGGGCGGCGGGGGGGTGCAGGAGCGGAGGGTCTGGCGGGGCGGGGGCCGGAGGCGCAGCGGGGGGACGCAGAGTAGAGCGCGGCGAGGGGGGGGGGGGGGTCGGAGGGGAAGGAAAGGAAGGCCGCCACCATGCTTTCGCACGCAGAGGCGCGTGAAAACGCTTCGCGCTTCGATTTGGGATTATTTCCAACGTTCTCTAAGGCGTATGACGCACTTGCAGTTCGACAGGATATGCAATCGCACCCCGTCTGGCGCGCGCAATGCGTCTGGTTAGTGTCATCGAGCCACGGCCGTGCATAAGTGACACAACAGCCGCCCCGTCTCAACAACCATCTGTTTGATCGTTTCAACCCCCGCGCGTTCCAATCCAATGTTGGCCCTACGCTGCCCGACAGGTTCCAAAGCGGGCCCCGAGACGGCCGCGCGTGGCCCCGAGGCGGCCCGCGAGGCGCCCGCGGCGGCGCAGGAAGACATCGCGACGGCCCCTTGGGGATCCCAGAAGGCGCGCCGCGACCAGCTAATCCTTTGATTCCGCACCGACAAGACCCACGAAGGACGCACGAGGCGGCGCAAACGCGCGCAAGGATATCCGAGGGCCCCCACCACAGCACCGAAAGACAAATACTATTGATCTATCCTTGATTATATTCAAGATGTGGAGGTCCGCACCTTTCGGGCTCCCTGGCGCCCCAGGGCGGCCTTCGAGGTCCCCAAAGACCACTCCGAGACGGCCAACGACCCCTCAGAAGACCGCCCGATTGTCGGAGAGGGCCCCAAGACGGCCCATAAATCATCATAGATTATCAAACGACGCCCACAGGCGGTCTCGAAAGGAGTCCGCGAACAGGAAAAGCACTCAACCCGCGGCCGCCCAGGCGGCCCAAGAGCTCCGCAAGGGCGGCCCCCGCGCTGGTCCACAGAAGCCGACGCCATGCATGTTTCATCGTTTGTGTCCACGTTTGAAAAATCTGTCGCGTTTGTTTTCCGCATTTTCGGATGGGCCGCGAGATTTCTCCGAACGCCCCAAAAAAACTTCCAACCAGGTCCTCAACGGGGCCCATATGACGGCCCCGAACGGCCTCAAAATGACGGAAAACGAATGCAGGGCCACGCGAGGACGCGCCACGACGCCCCCCTTATCAAGCACAAAACCTGGGACAATGCGGGGCCAGTGTGCAAATTAGCATGTGCACCAATGCACCCAATGACATTTTACCAAACCTCAACTGTTCGAAACCATGCGTCTACCACATGTCAGCAACAAAAAAACTGATGTGAAAACGCAACTGTCCAAAACGAGTTTCCTGGACAATTTAATCGCGGTTCTGATGTCTCGAATGTCATGCCGCAGGTTGCCTTCATCATCCGCCACAACACTGCGGAACCTCAACTGTTCCTAACAATTGTTTCCCTGGGCTCCTTACCACCAGGCTAACCCAACAACGCGGATAAGAAACGCCCAGCCACCAAACAAAAAAAAAACAACGTAACCTGGCGAAAAACCCAACCATATACAACTGGGGGCTCCATGTGGGGCCGCGGACCGTGTGAGGGGTGCGTCCATGTGACGTGGCGCCGCCATGTGGACCATGCTACTGGGGCCTTCGGTGGACCCCCCTGTGGGTCCACGAACCGCGCGCTGGGTTTGTAGCCGCACGATTTGTGAAGACCGCATGCGGGGCGGCGCACGATTTGTGAAGACCGTCTGCGGTGTTCTTGGCCAGAGGATTTGTTAACACCGTCTGCGGGGTTTTTGGCGGCACGATTTGTTAACACCCTGGGCGCGAAACGATGTGCGAACACCTGGGCGCCGCAAGATGTGGTAACAACCTGGGCGCCGCGCAGTCCCACCAGCCCTCTGGGCGTAGGTGGTTTGGGGAGTTTCCTCTTCCAACCCCCTTTCTTCCCCTTGGGGGAGGGGTTTACCCCTCCCCCTACCCCCTCCACTGGACCTGGACGGGAGGTTTCGCTGGTAGTTGGAGCGTCCAAGATGGCCCAAGATGGCTCCAAGAGCGCCTCGGGGAGCCCAATATGAGCTCCAAGATTGCTCAAGAAGCTAGCCTCAGATGCCTCAAGACGGCTCCGAAGATGCTCCAGTAGGCCCGAAAACCGCCCCAGGACGGCTCCGAGAGGCCAGCTAGGTGCCCCAGGAGGCCTCCAAGAGGCCAAAATCCTTCAAAAACCGAAGGAACATCAATGCGTGTTGCTTTCTCACCCTTTCGCTTCCGATGGCCTTCCGAGGCCTCAAGATGGCTCCAAGAGGGCCCAAGATAGCCCCAAGAGGGGCCCAAGATGGCCTCAAGACGGCCCCAAGAGCGCCCAAGAGCGCTCCAAGAGCGCCTCGAGATGAGCCCAAGAGGCGATTTTAGAGGATCTAGAGAGGCAGGCCTAATTAACCCCACTCTCTTCTTTGATCGATCGCCTCCAAGATGGCCCTAAGAAGCGCCAAGGAGGCCCCAAAAGGCGCCAAGATGGCCCCAAGATGGCCCCAAGATGGCCCCAACATGGCCCCAAGAGGTCCCCGAGAGGCTCCCCGGGGCACCCAAGACGCCCCAAGAGGCCTCCGGGACCGCCGAGACGCTCCCAAGACGCCCTAAGAGGCCTTCAGGACGCCCCCAAGAGACCCCCGAAGAGACTCCGAGAGGCATCCAAGAGGCCTCTGGCCATTCTGCTCGCCCTTCTCCTCGTCCTCCTTTTCATTATCGTCCTGCTCCTGCTCCTCCTCCTCCTCCTCCTCCTCCTCCTCATCCGCCTATTGCTCTTCCTCCCTCTACCCTCCTCCCGCTCCCCCTTTTCCTCCTTGAGTTCCTCCTCCTCATCGTCCTCCGATTCATCCTCCATCCTCGCCGTCTTGGGTAAGACGGGTTCCCCAGCCTTTTGTTATTATGTATGCCCCCCACTTCCCTGATCACCCCCATTCGCCTGGGCATCGTTACTGCATGGGCTGTTGGGGATACGCGAAGCGTCAAGAATTTGTTGGTCTGGAACAGACTGGGCGCTACACGATTTGTTAACACCGTCAGCGGAGCTGTTGGCTGCACGATTTGTTAACATTGTTTCCGGCGGAGGCGGGGTGGCAATGCCACCTCCGCGCGTCGCAACGCCACTTCCGCGTGTGAAGTGCACGCCCAACTGGAGCGGCGCCGCCATGTGGACCTTGCCACTGGAGTCTTCGGTGGAACTCCCTGCGGGGCCACGAACCGTGATGATGCGTGCGCTTAAACAAGGCGGCGCCGCCATGTGGGCCCTGCCGCTGGGCCCCCCCTCGAACTCCATGTGATGCCACGGACCGTGTCAAGTCTGCGCCCACATGGCGCGGCGCCGCCATGTGGACAGTGCCGCCGAAATCTGCGGTGGAGCTCCCTATGGGAACGACGCCCCCCCAGAAGGGCTGGACCAAGCAAGAAGAAGGCGGGGGTGCCCGCCACCGTGTCCCCTCGCCCTCTTCCTCCTCCTCATATTATTCCTCCTCCTCCTCCTGCAAATTTCCCCCCCCCCTCCTCTCCCTCCCCCACCGCGCCGCCATGTCCCCCCACCCCCCCCTCGCCGCATAATGCTACTGCGAAC